TAAAATATATTACACACAAACCATCGTTCGAGTAATTTTTTTTCGTGTGAAGTATTTCTTTTTCATAACGTAGCACAGGAGAATAAGGATGTAGGGGAACATAATATAATGAAGGTGCCGGGATGGGGATGTAGGATCCTCTGTCGATTCGTGGAGCTGGTAGTGTCTCGTTCCTGTCTAAGTGATTGGAATCGACGCGCGCGCAAGCTCGGGGATATCGGAGACATGCAAGAGGCCAATAAGACTGACCGCGCTCGTGTTCTACAAGAAGGACGTCTCGGTGAACTTGTAGCCTCTTCTTGGCCTCCAAAACCCCCACCCATATTGGATATCTTTGGGACCGATGTGCTGGCTGGTCACACGGGTAGGGTCGTCAAACAATCTTCTACCTCGTGACATACTTTTAGTAAGCGGCACGGTATGTTTGCCGATGCTGTTGTTGTTGTTGTTTTATGGTTGTTGTTTTTGTTGCTGTTGCTACTGTTGTTGTTGTTGTTGTTGTTGTTGTTGTTGCCGCTGCTGTTGCTATCATTGTTGTTGTTGTTGTTGCTGTCCTTGCTGTTATGGTGTTGTTAGCAGTTGTGGTGATGCTTCTGCTGCTCTTGTTGTTGTCATTTTGATAGAGTGGGTGGTGATGATAGTGGAAATTGTAGTTTTAGTGCTAGAGTTGTTGTTTCTTCGACTATAGATACGTGGGTATCCAGGCGCTTTGTCAATGGGGGCAGATAAAAAGGGAGGGTGGTAGATAGCAGGAATGAAATGGCACTAGCGCTTCACAATGAGTGCACACTGCATAACTATGTAATTAATTTTGGAGCAAAAAAGAAAAGGCCTGTATAGGGGGTGGGGGTGTAGATTGGGGAACAGGGTGGGTTGGGGTAGGGGGACATAAAGAAAGAAAGAAAATGGTAGTCAAATAGATTAAAACGAAAAATATAGATAAGTCAAAAAAAGAGAGGGAGAGAGAGAGGGAGAGAGAGAGAGAGAGAGAGAGAGAGAGAGAGAGAGAGAGAGAGAGGGGGGGGGGGGGAGAGAGAGTGAGAGAGAGAGAGAGATATTCAGAGATTCAAAGATTCAAAATGATTTATTGATTTTTTAAAGGCCTTTGGCCCATAGAGAGAGAGAGGGAGAAAGAGAGAGAGAGAGAGAGAGAGAGAGAGAGAGAGAGAGAGAGAGAGAGAGAGAGAGAGAGAGAGAGAGAGAGAGAGGGGAGGGGGGAGAGGGGGGAGAAAGTTTTCTTGGTTGTAAGATTTTGTTTGTTTGTTTGGTGTGTGTGTTTTTTGTAATTTAAAAACAAGAGTACACTTCCAAGAAATATGGCTGGCTGACTGAAATTACAGGTGTTCTCATCTTGGCTTCAGCTTAAAGAGGGTGGAACCAAATTACTGATCGATACCACTATATATTTCGGACGTTTCGTGAATTTTGCTCAGTCACAGAGCAAAAGAGAGAGAGAAAGACAGAGAGAGAGAGAGAGAGAGAGAGAGAGAGAGAGAGAGAGAGAGAGAGAAAAGGGAGAAAATGAAGAGAGACGGAAAGAGATAGGGATAGAGAGAGAGAGAGTAGTGCGAGAGAGAGAGAGAGAGAGAGAGAGCGAGAGAGAGAGAGAGAGAGAGAGAGAGAGAGAGAGAGAGAGAGAGAGAGAGAGAGAGAGATTCAGTTTGTACGGAAATTAGGGGAGGAGGGGGGATGGTGAGGGCATGAGTATAAGAAGAAAAATGAAAGAGAGGCAAGGGCTGTTGTTGGTAGTGGGCGGGGTTTTTTGAAGGGGGATGGGAAGGAAGGATATTGGAGATACAGAAAAAGGAGAGCCGGTAAATAGAAAGAAAAAGAGAAGAGTAAATAACGGAGGCGGACAGAAGATAAGGCTACGATTGGGGGAGATGAGTGGGATCAAATGGGAAGGCAAGCTGCGTGAGATATAGTTATGAATATATACACCAAAATAAATAGGCCGTTTACCGAGGCATCATTTGGCAATCGATAGTGTGTTTTAACGTTCGTGCAAAGTAAAATGAAACGTGTTCACCGATGTGCTAGGCACGAAACCCGAAAAATAATGAGTAAAGGAAGACAGAAATGGAAAGAGCGGAGAATCTGGAGTCCGAGAATAAAGAGGTTTTGAAAATAATTCTACTTTCCCGGCTTTCGTCTCTCCGCTCTATACCATTTCGTTCATTTTTCCCTTCGATTATTTCCTAGTGAATGCAAGGCGCGGTATTATGGTAGGAACATGAGAATTCAAGAAACGTCTTTAAAGAAAAAGAACTTTAATCAAAGATCAGACGTGGGCATGGCTTGCCATTAAATATTTTGTCCTGCGTTCCAAACGTGGTCGAAGCCCTTCAAGGCGTGTTTGTGACTCTCGGATTTGCGTTTCTTGAAAGAGAAAATCCTTGGTTCTAGAAAGTATATTAGCTGCTTACAGAAAGCATTTTTCTCTCAAGAAACTAGTTGTTTCTGGAACATGAATGGTATGAAAGGAGAGAGGGCAAGAATGGGGAGATAGATAGATAGATAGATAGATAGATAGATAGATAGATAGATAGATAGATAGATAAATTGATTGATAGATAGAAGAAGTTTTGGTAGAAAGGGAGTGTCGGGCAAGGACGGGGTGGGCGTCTAAAAGAAGAGATTAGGTTCACAGGCCTAAGGCATTCTCAACCTAGATCAAATTGTACAGGTTCAATTCGTTTCACATACATTCGTCTTATTTTCCCTCTACAGATCAGCCAATGTCACGTGGTGCATTGGTCAAGGCCTTTGCCATATGTATATCGTATATAAAACGTTAGCTTGTTATTTTCCATTTTTTCCATGGGGGCTCTGGTGGTCGAGAGGTTGCAGCGTTCGCCTCTCAATCAACAGGTCCCGGGTTCGAATCCGGACATCGACGGAAAATTTTCTTCTTTCTCCTTTCACCTCATTTCCTGCTCTCCACTTCCTTTTCCGCCTCCACTGAGCTCCAGTCTCTTTCTGCAGCCTTTCTACTGCTTCTCCATGGCTCTTTTTACTTATGTTACTGCTGTCCTGCAGCCCCACCAATGACCTTATGGCAGGTAAGATCGAACGCCTAGCTTTCTCGGATAAGGGCGAAAAATCTCGGAGGTCCCGTGTGCAAGTTGCGCACGTTAAAGATCCCTCGGTGGCCCAAAATCGATAAGAGTAGGTTTCGGCCGCCACCCGGGAAGAGCAAAATTCAAAATGTCCTACCAATTGAAAATGTTTAGTGTGCCCCGTGCTCTCATATGACCTTACGCAGTTTCGAGAGCCGCTAAACACTTACCAAAAAAATATCTTTCCATCCTGATACCCTACAAAATATCTAAATTCTATCGACGTGGGCGTCTAATAAACGTGGGAGTAAAGTTGTAGTTTTTATCTATCGTTTTAAAAAATACAACGTTTGAGAAAAATAAAGCAATGCGGTCGCGTAACATGTTTTTGGGGGCGAACAACTGTTCAGTTTCTGAGTTTTGGAAGTATCTGAGGGCTTAATGCAAACTGAAATAAGGTTCTGGTGACGAGAGACGACCTCCAACGTAAATATTTTCAGCATTTCTTTCAGGGTGCGGAGGAAAGTTTTGATTTCGCTCTCGGTAAAAAAAAACCTGTTAATTATAAGGGAAAAGCACGTCACTATTTACAACACACACAAAATTTACGTTGGAATCCTATTTCGGAAATAAAGTATTATGTTCTGTTCATAGCAAGCAAATGCAAAAAGTGTTTCAAATTCCTGGTGATTTTCTACTATAATTATACACATCTCATTCGAAAATGGATTGTGAACAAAGCAAATAAATTACCGGCATAGCAACAGTTAAAATTCTGAAATCCAAAGTCATTGCGCTGTTGCGTGTTCGAAAGGGAGTTAGAACCTTGAGAACTCACAATGTTGGATATTGCAGCTGAGAGAAGTGGCAGCAAACACAAGGTTCTTTGTGCATAAGGGATTGAAGAAGGCGGTCTCCATTTACCCTGTCAATTGCATTTCTGGCGTATTTCTGCAATGGTTCTCATTTGAAGAGCAAAGCAAGTCTGGTATTCACTCATCGAGTGTGCTGTCCCCATATGTCAAGTACAGCAAATAAATGCTAACGATTTCATTATTGGGGGCAGTGTGATGTAGTGTTCAGGAATTTGGCCTCATGATCCGGAATGTCTCAGGATCAATATCCACTGAATATTGGGTTTTGTTCTCAGCGTTTTCAATACCCTCTTGAACTGGCTCAACCCTAGAGCAGACAGACCCTCGAGGCACTAGTCCCGCCTTCAAAAACATGATCTGTGATACTAGTGGCCTCGCATTAGAGTGGCCAATCCAAACCAACTTCAAAATTACAGTCATGATAGTTTGTGTGGTCGTCCGTTAAAAAAAAACGCGTAGCGATAAGAACACATAAAACGTTTCTTTTTTTTGTCAGCTTTAATTCATTTGACCGATTGTCCACAGAACTTGACCGGAAGCCTATACATCACCTGCATTACGGATTTTTAAAAAAATTAAGGATTAAAACAAAACTCAAGGAGCAGGGAAAGTGACATTGTAAAAATATTCCAGATAATAACATGCTAATATTGCCCTCCCCCTTTTTTCTCTATAGACTTTGGCCCTGCCTGTTAAGTCTATCCTGACTACATAAAATACATCAAAGTCAAGATCTGCAAATACTGGGTGAGATGCACATATGTCTTTTCACGTGTCTGTTGCATACAAGGCGCGGACAACTTTCATTACACCATAGGCAATGTTCTTGTCATTTTCACCCTGAGAGCTTCTAAAGACACAATGTCATCTTGGCTTCGTAATATTACATAAATATACATAATCATATCATTATAAAGTGTTTGATGAGTTGGTGGGCAGGGGTTACGGCTTCAATAATTATTGCAATCTCTGATAATTGCAATCATCAGACTGCATCATACATTTCCCAACAAAAATTATGACTGTCTGCCGTCTTTGGTTTATGACGTAATAAGATGTAGCTCACCTGATCCCATGAGGCCAAAAGGACATGGTAGAGATACTGTAGAATTGGGTGCCGCAGGGGGCCAACACAAAACGGTATCATTGACCGCAGGGCAGTGGACACCTGAAATAGAATAAAAATCCACATAATTGTTTGCGGGTATGGAGGAACAAATCACCATCTTCATCTTCATTATCAATAGCAGCAGCAGCAGAAGCTGGAGGAGACGGAGCAGCAGCAGCAGGATTATTAGAATAGAAAGATATCGTAAACGCAGAATAAGAGAGAGAGAGAGAGAGAGAGAGAGAGAGAGAGAGAGAGACTTTCTAATTAATAAAACTCTTATTTTAAAAAAGGGTCCATGTTTAGTTAATTGGATTATTTAAAGTCATGTAGATAGGCTATTTGTCTGGGGGTTTTCCTGCTTTTTGTGGATGACTTTACTAGCTACTCGTAAAATACAAATTCTCTTGATATTGAGACCTGTCTG